GACGAGCTAGTCACAGTAGCGAGTATAGTATCGCTAGTCACCTCCTGTATCTCTCTCTATCTTGTCATACAGGCACGCGTACGCGGCGCGCCTCTGTGAGCGAGTACATGCGTCCGCTTGTGCACCATAAGCTTCTGTCTGCGTGCTGGGTTAACATGTAGATGTTCATACGCGCGCATGTGTGTGTGTGTGTGTGTGTGCGTGTGAAGTATAGGGCTCATATGCGTGTCGGGACGACAAATTATTGCCCGCCCGTTTTATGGTCCGTTAAAATATAAATCAAGTTCTAAATTAAATTCCTCCCATGCCCGCGTACGCGAGCTTGCAGCAGCAGCAGCTTTTGCGCCGGTACTGTACTATATACCATACCGCGTATGGCTTGGTGTAGCGCCGCGCGGCCAACTATAACGAGCGCGTTTTATAACATTCGTCGCGGTGTGGAGAGAGAGAGAGGTGCTACCTGCAGCTGCAACATCGTAGTAGTCGTCGTCGTCGTCGTGCTCCATGTGTCAAAGGGCGCGCGTAGCAGCAGCATCTCGCTCGCTTTCCACTCGAATTCTCGCGAAATTACACGCGAGGACCTGCGCGCCGCCGCCGCACTACGTACGTGCAAAAACACGCGCTATATACTTACCGTTATTATCATAGCGCTGTGCTGCTGCTGCTGTCAAGTGTGGGGTGGGTGTGGGGGTGTGCTTTTAATACCGACAAAGAAGAAGCGCTCGGCCGCACATATACATACGTGTGCGTATACGACTCTACTCCGACGTGTATCCGCGCGCGCATCCTTGCTTCGCTTTTTCGCTTCTCTCTTTCGCGTTGCGCGCACACACAACTCGACGCGTTATTATATGACGCGCGCGAGAAAGAGAGAAGCGAGACTGGCACGTGCTGGCCCGCCAGCCTGCACGAGGTCTTTAAAAATTTTTCTTTTCGCCAAGCGGTCAACCGCACGCGCGCACGAGAAACGAGAGGAAGCGAGAGGAGAGAGAGAAAGAGGAACCTCGAGTTTGCGCTTCTTTTGTAATACGCCGTGTTAACGCGGACGAGCGCGCGTCCGTATCCTCCTCCTCCTCCTTCCCCACGTCGCGTGCCCTTCCTCCTCCCCTGCCGTGCGTCCGGCACAGAGAGAAAGAACTACAAGCGAAAGAGAAAAGGCACGCGGTATAATAGGCAGAGGACGTGGCAAAAAAAACGTAGAGAGCACAGCCTGGGAAATTCGTTCGCGTACACTTGGCCCCGGTATTTATTATTTCTTTAATTAACGTTGCTTGCTCAAAAGATTGCGCGAAAGAACGCACAACAGCGAGCTAGCTGGTACTAGTAGTAGTAGTACTTGGAGTGTAACGCGTATACGCCTCGTTATAATATGCGCGTGCCTTAACCCGCACCAACCAGATGTGTCAACGTTTACTCGTTTATTTATTTTTTTATTTTTTCGTTCGTTTATCTTTGCTCTTTCCACCGAAATTTATCGAAGAAAAAACTTCCAAGCTGCGAGCTTGCGAGCTTGCACACTTATATATTTGTCAATGGATTTAAACGACGTGACTTTATACATACATCGAGTTGCGTAAAGCTTTCGCTCATTATTTCATCATTTTAGAGTATATTGACTGTCGAAAGCTCTCTCTATACGCGATACTTCGAAGGGGGAAAACTCATTTTCCTCGCGAGAGTCAATAAAACGTTCGATGGGATTAACTAGGCCTGACGTTCACCGCAGCAGCACGCACACACTCTCACACATTACCTTTATATTTGGTTCGAAAGTAGAGATGAAGCTGGGTCGAAGGTAAGGGAGCACAATTTTCGTGCATATCTCTACACGTATATAGCTGCGAAGAGAAGATAATGCGACCACCTCGCGAGCGGCTGTCGTAAGATTTACCTCGCTCACCCGTAATCTTCTTGCTTCGGTATCACCGCGCAGACGGGCGGGCGGCTGAGCGCTTTGTCTTTCACCACCGATATAATACACCTACCACCACCACCACCTTTTACCTCGAATTTGTTCGTCGAAGAGTTGAAAATTAGTATTCAATTTTCGGGCGGAGACAGGCGAGAGAGGATCGAGCTATCTACATATAGCTCGACAGCGACAAGTTTCCGCAGAATCAATTTGCCTCCTATATGCGCCAGTCATTATAGGGCTTTCGTCGAGCACATAGCACGTATTAAAAAGAAACGAGTAAAAATAGTATGTACATAATATCTTCACGGTATACGGCGTTTCATTATCTGACTTGGCAAAAGTCATTGTGTGTCGTCAAATTTTTGTAACCTCTTGTCGAGCATAACCGAAAGAGATTTCCCAAGTTTTTCATTGAAATATTCATTCAAGAAATATGCGCGTTCATAAATATTGTAGAATTTTCATACTGCTGCCGCTGCTGCTGCTACTACTGTTGGAGCTGCTTGCAGCATGCGCGCGAATATTTTAGCAGAAACCAAGCGATAGCAATAAAGAGAAAACAGGAGAGAGAGAGAGAATCGCAATAGTCGACTACTACGCAGGAGTATGAAGAGTAGTATAAGGCAAGGGAGGGCAACGTTGGCGGCAAATGCAGAGAGAAAGGGAGTGAGAGAGAGATAGCAGGAACTCCCAGATAATTAAACGAAATTCATTTACATAGCTCGAGTAATACAGAGCGCGCGCACGGCAACAGCCCCGGCTCTTCGGGTATAGATACCGGGCTATATTATATAGCCTGGTGGTAGTACACGGGTCACGACGACTACGACGAGGACGAGAAGTAGGAGGACTGCGACGACGATGCAGAGCGCAGCCACGGCAAACGGCAGAGGTTGAAAGGGAAATCGTGGCGTTATATATACTCGGTTACGAAATTCCATATTCGTATATATATTTCTCTCTCTAGCTCACAGTGACTGAAAACTAAAGGTATGCTTTTGATTTTCCGGGAAATATTATTCGAACGCGTGCAGGTGTGGGTGTGTGTGTGCGAGGACTACAAACGCGGAAAATCAAGTCTCGCGTGTCGAGGGACTATGCGATGGATCTCCGAAAGAGATTTCAAGCGCGAACGTAAAGTAACGTTTTTGGGAAGATGATTGAACGGATGATATCGGCCAATTGGATGGGTTCATTGTGTATAGATGGAAAAAAGTTAATCCGTCGTCAAAAGGTGAACCGGATACGCTCTCGTGTGTACGTAAGTACGATGAGGTATAATTAAAAAATTGCAATCGATACTGCACAGGAATTTGATCAAATAATAAAAATACACATTTAGAATATTTTCTGGATTAATTTTCTTGATTAAATTTTTCATAGATTAAATTTTTCATAGATTAAGAAATTGCATAAAATATAAAGTGAAAAAGATTTATTTTTTTATCGTCTATGTAAAAAATAATTTAATTATCTTTATTGAAAAAATGATCATGATGATTATGAATTATAAAACACGTTGATTAACAGATTTGGAAAATAATGGGAATATAATATCTTAAAATAACCACTTAAACCGATGAAAAAAAAATACCAATGATTCGAGACAATGGATATTAATATTTAATAAAAAATTCTGATTCATCATATTATGTAAATTAACACATTTTATACTCGAAGCAATAATTATATTGCACGAGTCGCGTTCGGAGGCTAAAGGGGCAGGGGTTGACTCCGGATCGCACTCGATCCGTAAATAGAAAATAAAATGAAATAAAATCAGTGGCCGATCTCCGATAGCGTAATTGAATTATTTTTTATTTTATACGTGTTTACACTTCGCAGGCGGTAATAAAACTAAGGGAATTGATTTTTATTTAGCAAACGCTTAAAATATAAATGCGATCGATTCGCGACTGCGACAACTTTCTTTTTGGCTTGACGCTTTTTTTGCGATGGCACTATGTCGAAAAATTTGATGAAAAAATATTTCAACAGCCGCCAGAGCTTTTGAGGTCGTTGAGAAAATTTTTTCCTGTTCACAATATAAAAAAAAATGAAAATAAACGTAATTTGCGTTGAATCTGTTCAAACAAAAAATGCTTCCTTGGAGAAAGATGACAAAAACTATCGAGCCATTTTAGACTGGATAAGCATGATATTAAAACTAAGCTTTATCTGGTATCCACGCCACCGTTACAAAGCCGATATAATCCTTACCTTAGCCGCTAGGTGTATGCAGAAATTCTATGTTTAATTAAATAATCCGGTTGAGGTGTGTGATTAATCGTTGATGACAACAATAGCATCGGCTACGTGCGTCACACTTTGATGTCAAAAAAATTTTTTTAGAGAATTTTGGGGTGTGCGTTTCATAGGGTTTCTGTGTAGAAAATTTTTTGAATTTCGCACTGTGACTTACAAAAGAAAGAACAGTTCAGCTTTTGTAAACGAATAAAAATGTTGAGATTTTTCTCATAATTGAAAAGTTACATCTTGCAAATGAGATAAGGTTATTCTATAGTTTTGATTCTTTTGCATTGATGCAAATGCAAAGATTAAATCACGCTGAATCTCGTGGTATGTATTTTTTTGAGGGGTAACTTGGCGAAATTCGGAGATATTTTGATAAAAAGTGGACATTTTTTGAGCTCCTATAATATGGGCTCTTATGGCGGAGGGTGTCGATTTGATTTTCGAAGCATAATTTTCAAAACGAAATGAATAGTTACCTATATAAGACTATGATGGGATCAAAGAAGAATTTTTCATCTTTCCTATTATACCTTTAAAAACATAGATAACCAGGGAAAAAATCGAAATTTTTCACAGGAAAGAGAAAAAAATGATGTTTTTTCAATGTTTTTGGGAATTTCAGCCTGCGCAGTGCGCACTGCGTATACTACCTTCAGCTCGAGCCAGTAGATTAGATTGCCGTGAGAGTCTCTATATGTATCGTAATACATAACTTTGTATGGACAGTCGACGGTGGAGAGGGAAGGTATCGCTACCTTGATCGCGGGATAACCTCGCTAACACATAACGAGTAATGCGTTCAGTTCAGTTGCTAACAAAGAGCTGAATACCCACGAAGAGCTAGTGTTTACAAATTATATCCTCAAAAGTGTATATCAAGGGTCATTATTAGCTAGTTGAGAAGTGTTTAACCTCAAACATTTTCTCAAGAAAATGTCGTGAAAATTATCACAGTGATTAAATATAATAAAGCGAGTAATGGAAAGCAAAGAGGATACGATTAGGTAAAGTTGTTTATTCATTCCTTGATATTTTTTTAAGTGATCGGCTCATCAAAATAAATCATTTTCCAGGATTAAGGAAGAACCGAAAAATACTTCGCCAGATGTGCTAAGCGACTTTCATATTTTGAATTCGGCGGACTCCTGTAAAGCCAAAGAACTTGAAACATTCACACTGCATGAATCATCAGTGAGTTCATTAATTTAAATTATGCTTTATTTCATTATTATTCAAGACTATTACACTATTTTAATTTTAGGGAAATCGAATGAATGAGGTTATGTTGTTACAGGAAAAGTTAGATAAAGATATATTTGTGGATTTTGAGTGCAAATATGTTAAAACTGAATTGAAGTCTTTATCGAGAACCATCTGTAAAATTGAGAACCAAAGTCATCCACCTATTGTGAAAAAAGAAAAACAAACTGAAACTGATCATTTAAATGACAAAAATTTAATAGTGTTGATAAAAAGAGAAGTTGATCATGAAAAGAATCATCCATTCCAAATGAATTCTCAATCAATGTTTAGAGATTATAAAAATACGAAAATATTAAGAAAAAGATCGCTAACCAAATTATCTTATCAATCTCAAATATGTCAAAAAACCTATATTCGAAGAGCGAATCAAAACAGACGTATCAATAAGACGCACAAGAGAAATAGATCACATGATTGCGAACTTTGTCACAAATCATTTGGAGTAAAAAGTAAACTTAAAAGGCACTTAACCACAGTACATATTCGCAGCAAACCCTTCGAATGTGACATCTGTCACAAATCGTTTGGTCGCAAGGATTACCTCAAAACTCACATGAATGCAGTACATAATCTTAGCCAATCTTTCGAGTGTGAAATTTGTCACAAATCACTTTCATTCAAAGGTGACCTAAAAAGACATATAAGAGTAATTCATGATCGAAGCAAACTTTTCGAATGCGACATCTGTCACAAATCGTTTGGTCGCAAGGATAGCCACAAAACTCACATGAATTCAGTACATAATCGTAGCCAATCTTTCGAGTGTGAAATTTGTCACAAATCATTTGGATATAAACATCACTTCAAACATCACGTGAATGCAGTACATAATCGAATCAAACCCTTCGAATGTGACGTTTGTCGCAAATCATTTTCATTTAAAAGTGACCTAAAAAGACACATAAGTGCAGTACATGATCGCAAAAAAAACCCTTCGAATGCGAGACTTGTCATAAATCATTTGGGCAAAAAGGTAACCTCACATCTCACATAAACGCAATTCATGCAATTCTAGGAATGTGAGTACAATGAAAAATTTTACAATCACATGGGTACGCTATGAAATTTAAGAAAATCTCTCTCATATATATTCATTAATTTTTATGAAGAACAATAAAATATTTCAAATTTTTATTATAATTCATTTTTTCGTGATTATGAAAAATCGCTCATTCACCTTTTTACTCTTAATCAGTATGCTACAATAGAAAATCTATGCCTCAAAGTAAGAATCATTATATTTCGTACTTCTTATTTTTTATGAAGTCTCATATTTTCGATTCAAATAATGTATACGATGAGTAAAATTCAGACATAATTATTTTTGATTATTGTTTTCAAATTAAACTTTACCAATTTTTAATTACGTTTATTGCAGTTGTACCCACTTTAAATTTGACAAATTCAAACAATCTCATAAAGTAGAAGTCACAAGAGTTATTCGCTGTGCTCGCTTCTCCATCCAGTTAATTAATTCGCTCCTCCGAATTTCAATTCAAAAACTTATTAAAATGTTTACGAAAGAAAAAAAACTTCATTTGGGTCCATGATAAATATATAAGCTCGAACTCGTATATGCGTTTCCTACAAATACTCATTGAAAGTGATCGGTCGAAACTTGCCCACGACGGAGTATAGGCCGAAACGTTGTTAATTTCAATGCGATGGATCGCCGACCGCAGTCGTGTAATTTCGACATGGGTATATAACACATACACACTCTCACATGTATATATGGAGCAGCTCTTCCACACAGCAGTAACGTGTGTGTATATATGCGTGTGTCTGTGTGCGAAAACGTTACACCGCAAGGTTTCATTGGCGCTCTCGCTCTCGTGCGGTCTTGTTATTTCTTTCGCGTACGTATATGTATATAGTACCTCTCGTACTCTGCCGAAGCTTTCTGCGCTTTATAGCTTTTCAGCGAATTTCGGTATTTAGCCCACCATTTATATCCTGCGCCGAGGCTCTCTATACGGTTGACTTTGCTCTCCACACTGCTGCTGCTGCTCTTCTGCTTGCTGCACTGCGTTCAATAGCTTTTTTTTGTTGTTGTTGTTGTTGTCGGCGTCGTCGTCGTTTTGTGTTTATTCGCGGGTAAATATATAGATAGATGCGTATCTATATGAATCGGCGCTTGGACACTATTTCCTCGAGCGCTCAGCAATGAATATTGTTTTATTACTCTCTAGCCCAGGACGGAAAATGGCATTGGCGCTTTGGCTTTGTGAATTCTCAACAACAATCGCGGCCAGGAAATTTTTTTTCGCCTTTTGATTTGTCAAGTAAATAATAAAAGAAAAAAAAATAATAGCATCCGTACATATCCCAAGCATTCATCGTTGATTAAAATATATTCGCGTTACAAAAAAAGGGGAGTAAAACCAATAGATGAGAGAAAAAAAATTTCAACGATCTATCGGGGTTACATGATAATATTCGCCGTGCGTGTGTGTTCGACGAGTAAGACACAGAGGGGGAGAATTCATACCGAATCTCTGAAATTGCATCGAAATGTATTATGCATACATGGACAAGACTGAAAAAATATTTGCGCATAAATAAGCGCGCGCGCGCGGCGTTCGAGTACTATCGCAGCAGTAGTAGGGGAGGAGGGTGGCGCGGAGGAATTCAATTTTAACGATGCTCGATGCGAAAGCGCATACAGTGCTATACACAACGAAGGAGGTAAAAGGTATATACGTAAAGTCGACGCGCGCGCGAAATAGGTTACGGAACCGTACTGCAATCGTTTGTACTGTACCTACTGCTATCGAGCTGTTTGGCAAAAATAAGCGCGCACACGTACAAAAAAATAAAAAAAAAAAATACCCCCCGCGCGAGCCTCGAAAAGAAGGTAAACAGCTCTCATTCATTTATTCATGCTCGATCTACTCTCGGGCCGAGCTTTATTTTTCATTCCGACTATTTCTCTCTCTCTCTCGTTCGAGAATCTTTTTCTCTATATAATACGTGAAACGCTCCGTACGCGTAGACGCGCGTATAAACGACTCGAGTTTCGGCTTTGCACAGACACACACGCTGTAGGTATTATGGTGCGCGCTCATCAGTCACTGTCGCTGCGACCGGCGCGTAGCGCGATGCACACCGCGCGCTACGCGTCGGCACGAGGACCATGCAGTGGATGTACGCGCGGGATATGGCGCGTATATATATTAGGCATTACTGCTGCATCATACGCGCGACGTTTTCGTTTCTTAATCTTTTTTCGTTCCCCCCTTTACAAGTATACATGTTTTGCATGAAAAAGAAGGGGGAAAAATCGGGAAATCGACGCATCGAAAGTATGAAAAGACTAATCGGAGTCTGTGTATCTTTTATTTCTAAGTTGAACTTTATTAGACGCTTATGGTAAAAGAGATAAAGCCGTGAAATACGATTCATTCGTATGGGTAAGCGAGCACGATGATTGCGCATTATATGTCTCGGAAACGATGCCAGTTGATTTTGAAACACCATGCATTTCCAACATAAATAAGCAGTTGTTTAAGAACGTCAGTCAGAAGTTAAATTCAGAATTTCTAACAAAATAATTAAAATCCAAGCAAATTGATGAACTATTCAATTGAAAATATGTATTTCGCGTTCATTAGGATCACGAATCAATTTGCTAGCCCAGCCAAGCTTCTTGGCTGACCGCTAGGCGGCGCAAAGCTACCCGCTACCGAGTTGTCACCACCGTAGCATAACTGTAGCGTAGAATTATTTTTTGTTACCTTCCAACTCTATTATGATATTTGTTCCCAAACGACAATCTCACGCTCGCACGTCACGTTGACTTTGCAAGCGAAAAGATCGCAAGTCTCGAGCGCGGTGGCTCCTCGACTCATTTCACAATTCATATATGCTCTTCTTGGCCTAAGTGTTTTCGCGCGCTCACGCCGCTTTATAAAGTTCAAGTCTCGGAGTCTGTTGTCTAACTATACCGGCGCGCACACGTTAAACTTTTGCCCCGGGAACGATAATACATAATGCGACGATTATGCGCACACGCATGCATAGAGACGAGTTACGTACCGAGTCGTGTATGGGCATGCACGCGAGTATGTATAAGTAGCGGCGACACGCGCCTACACACAAGTCGAGTTTGACTCCATTTATGTATCGCCGCCACCGCACGAACGAAGACACTCGCTGGCAGTTTGTCGCTCTCTTTCTCGCTCGCTCGACGTTATACGGATGGACGCGTTTCTACGCACCCCGCCTGTATACATCCTCCTCCTCTTCTTCCAGAGAGAGCGAAACCTCGACGATTCCGTATGTATAAGGGGGTCGACGAGGTTTATTATTATATATACAGAGTTTGCGAGTCGAAGGAGCCCTGCTCGCTGCCGCTGTCGCCGTGGGCGTTGTGTTACGTACGCGTACGTGTCCCTCGCCTTCCAGCAATTCTTGGACGTTAAACTCGCTCCCCTGGGAAATAATAGGGTAAGAAAGAGAAAAGACAGTCTTGTTTTTCTCGCTGTCTCTGTCTCTGACTCTCTCTCTCTCACCCTATCTCTGGAGCAATGCCCAAAAGATCGCGCGGACACACACACACACACACACATACACTCGGAGGCAATCGGGATACTTTTAGAGCGGCGCTCGCTCGCGCGCGCAGATATCGAATGCCAGGCAGATCGGAGCGATCGTATAAAGTCGAGCAATCTCGCGAGAGAGCCTCTCACTGGCTTGCTTCCTTCGCTTCCTACTCCTTTTCCTTTTTTTTTCTTTTTTCATACGTATATAGCTATATAACGTACTTATACTGCGCGCACACGTTCCTTCCGCGCGACAGTTCGACGGCAAATAATCGTCGATCCTCCTCCTTCTCCACCTCTTTTTTTCCTCCTCTCGCTTGCGCAACAGCAACAGCAGCAGTAGTGGCAGTGGCAGTGACCCGCCACATGCGACTAACCTTTTTTTTCATTACTTCGCGTACTCGATAGTGCATGTGTGTTTATATGTATATGTGAGTAGCAGCAGTAGTGGCATGGCAGCAGCGCTGTGAGGGAAAGAGAGAGAGAGAGAGAGAGAGAGAGAGGAAATAAAGGATATCAGTGAAACATGCAGTACGCACGTCTCGTCCGAAGTCTCATTCCAAGCGTCCCTTTTACGACTCTCTGACTTTTCGTACACATTCGAGAGCGAGAGAGAGAGGAAGCAAAAGAAAAGCTCGAGACTTCGATTTTCACTTATTTATTCGATTTGGCCACGCTCTCGAGCTCGTGTTTCCCTCGCTCGCTCTTTCTCTCTCGCGATATCCCCTTTTTATACTCTCTCTCTCTCTATCGCCGCGCGCTACTTATGTATGAGCCGCTGTAATCGCTCGATAACGCGTTTACGACGTAACAAGGCCAACTTTTTCGGACTTTTATTTAACGCGATCTCCGGCATCCCTCGTGCGCGAGGTGTATGTATAATTTATCGATTCGGTTATCCTCTCTCTGTACAGTGCCCGGTGTCGTGCTTGTAATTCGTATTATATACGTTTGCCAGTCGTGTAGCTGCTCTAATTAATCGAAAAAAAAGAGAGAGAGAGAAAAGGGGTTCGGTATTATACCATCCAAACGCAGTTGCGTGGACACGATCGCGCGCCCGGGGTATATTAATTCGACCAGCTCTCTCGTCTTATCTATTATTCGAATCGATCGCGTTACAGTCAATGAAGCTCGCGGCTATCATTATATCCGCGCGCGCTGGCTTTTAATGGAAATTGTCTAAAATATTCACGATTACAAGGTCGACAAAAGTCGTCGTCGTCGTCGTTATAGTTGCGATACGTCCGCTCGCTAATATATAGTGGAATAATATATATGATCCGTATGTACTTTTGATCGTTGAGCGCGTATACGCTATTACGCATCTAGTTGAACGTGGTAGACGTCTGTGTGCGTGCCGCAATCGTGTGTATACCGGTACATATCGACTGTTTTCGAAAATAATGCGGACTCGGATGGGTATTAACACGTTACACAGGTCGCTCTCGTAAGCTATATACCATTGACGCTGCTGTCTATATACAAAAGTATATGGGATGAACACGAC